TGTGTCTCTCATGAATAAATAAATAAAATCTTAAAAAAAATAAATAAAAACTAAGTTATTATATTTATCATGTATCAAGGGAATCATACAATACATGGTCTTTCATGACTGGCTCCTTTTACTTAGTGTAACTGATAGAATGCTTCTAAGTGTTCCAGGCAGTTTCTAACATTTAATCTTCACAACTCTGAAATTGTTACTGTGAGGAAACTGAGGCACAGAGAGGTTAAATGTCTTGCCTGAGGTCACATGGCAGTAAGAAGCTAGACTTTGGAGTTAGGCCAACTTCAAGTCCAAGTCAACTTGCTTGCTGTGTGACATATAGAATATTACTTAAACTCTAGTCTCTTTTTTTCATGTTAGTTAAATGAAGATAACAGTGGCTGAATCTTGTTGGAGAATTAAACGCTGTGACATAAGTACTTAGGTCAAGGTCTAAAACTTAATAGGCATTCAGTTAATCATAGTGGTTGTTAGTAGCTGGAGTCCAGTAAAGACCTGGTTGGCGTGGTTGGCCTTGTCCCTCCTAGCACTGAGGTGTACCTGAGATACCAGGATTTTTTTTTTAATATAATTCACATACCATGAAATTTACCTTTTTAAAGTATACAATTCAGTGCTTTTTAGTATATTCATAAGGTTGTACAACCATCGTCACCATTTAATTAAAGAACATTTCCATCACCCCAAATAGAAACTGTACCCATTAGCAATCACTCCCCATTCTCTACTCCTCCTAGCCTCTGGCAACCACTAATCTACTTTCTGTCTCTGGATTTCTTTATTCCAAACATTTTTTTTAAAGATTTTATTTATTTATTCATGAGAAACACACAGAGAGAGAGAGGCAGGCAGAGACACAGGCAGAGGGAGAAGTAGGCTCCATGCAGGAAGCCTGTTGTGGGACTCGATTCTGGGACTCTAGAATCATGCCCTGAGCCAAAGGCAAGCACTCAACCACTGAGCCACCCAGACATCCCTATTCCAGACATTGTTTTAAAGATTTTATTTATTTATTATTTATCTGAGAGAGAGGGAGAGAGCACAAGTAGGAGGGAGGGGCAGAGGGAGAGGCAGACCCCTTGCTGAGCAGGGAGCCCCCATGCAGGGCTGGATCCCAGGAACCTGAGCCGAAGGCAGATGCTTAACTGACTGAGCCATATAGGGCCCCTATTCCAGACATTTGTATAAATGGAATTGTAACGTTATGTGGCCTTTTTCTTAAATTTTTTTTTTTTAATTTATTTATGATAGTCACACACAGAGAGAGAGAAAGGCAGAGACACAGGCAGAGGGAGAAGCAGGCTCCATGCACCGGGAGCCCGACGTGGGATTCGATCCCGGGTCTCCAGGATCGCGCCCTGGGCCAAAGGCAGGCGCCAAACCGCTGCGCCACCCAGGGATCCCAATGTGGCCTTTTTCTATCTGGCTTTACTCAGCATAATGTTTTCAGGGTTCATCCATGTTGTATCAGGACATTGTTTTTTTTTATCCTGTTGTTTTGTGCTACATTTTGTTTGTCCCTTCATCTGTCAACCACATTGGGTTGCTTCCACTTTCTGGCTTATTATGAATAATGCTACTATAAACATTAATGTACAGGTTTAAAATTTTTTTTGTTTTTGTATTTTTTAGATTTTATTTATTTGAGAGAGAGCACAAGCATGGGGAGAGACAGAAGGACAAGCACATTCCCCACTGAGCAGGGAGCCTGATTTAGGGCCCAGTCCCAGGACCCTGAGATCATGACCTGAGCTGTAGTCAGACCTTAATCAACTGAGCTACCCAGGTGACCCAATGCACAAGTTTTTGTGTAAGCACACATTTCCAATTCTTCTGGGTATATACCTAGGAGTGGAACTGTTGAGTCATGTGGTAACTTTGTGTTTAACTTTTTGAGGAATTGCAAGCCTGTTTTACAGAGCAGTGCTGCCATTTTGCATTCCCACCTGCAGTGTGTGTGAGTTCCAATTTCTCCACATACTCGTCGACACTTGTTATTGTCTTTTATTTTAGCCATCCTAGAGGGTATGGAGTGGTATCTCACCATGGTTTTTATTTGAATTTCCCTATTAACTAAGGGTGTTGAACATGAGATGCCAACTTTTAGGTCAGGTCTTTTCTGCCCACCCTAGCTGTTGTGTTTCCTCCAGAAAGTCCCTCTGGGTTCCCATTCATCTTCTGCCTGGTGTTAGTGGTTATTTTGGCTTCTTAGATGCTGACTTGTACCTTCTTAGTCCAGCTGCTTGGGGCAGGCTTTTGGGCAGGTTCCAGTGGTCGTGCAACTGTGTCTGGGATTAAAGGCACAGGTTCTTTCTGTGTGCAGGTTTAACGTTACTCTTGAGGCTGCCACATCCATTCCTAAGCTCTCTAAATGGCTGGGACAAAGCCAGCCTCTCCCCTGGGTACCGCAGCGAGCAGGATCAGAAATTCTTGAGCTGGAAACAGTCTCAACCATCCTTCTGCAACAAGACCATTAGAACCCTTCACCACTAGCTAATATTTTAGTAGCCTTCTATGTTAGAAAAATTCTTTGCTCTGACCCATCTCCCTCCTTCTGTAGCACATGCCAGTTTCCTCTCATGCTTTTCTTCCTCAGAGGATGTGGGACAGCTGCCCCTAGGAGGGGCTTCATCCTCTCGTCAGACAAAACCACTTTGGCTGGAGAAGCCCGCACGTGAAGAAGTCGAGACCAAGCCAGGCCTCTCCCAGGGGACTTTAAAGACTGAATGACCTTGTCGCTTGGCTGTTTCCTGGGCAGTCTGCTTTGAAAAAGAGAACTTCTGACAGGCTCCAGGTTGTGTGTTTATCCTGAAGCAGGGCCATTCCAAACGCATGTTTCAGAGTTTAGAGGTTGCGTCCAGCCATCCTGGTGGGTGGTAATCAAATGCAGGTGGATACCATCTGGCCAGGCCTGTCCCTCCCAGCTAGCCAAGTGAGGGCTGGCCTGCCCACCACAGAGCTGGCCCAAAAAGCATCCCGCATGGAGGCAGATGGTGGACATGTGCACATGTGCACATGCACACCCATACATGTGTGCATATGTGTACACAGCTTCCTTAGAGGGGTGGTGCTGCTGGGATGCATATGATTTCTCTCTGCATCGAGGGTTCTTCCCATCATACAATCTGAAGAGGATTTTCTTTTTGTTTGTTTCTCAAGTTTTTGTGGTTAGAAATCATGTATTTTTCTTGGCCCAAGATGAAAGCCCTGGAATAATGGTCTAATACATTTTTACGAAGCTGCTTCTATTGGAGGCTGCTTGAAATCTTCCCTTTGGCCTAGTGACCCATCTCCTTCAGTGGGATTTTAACTCTGAGTCAGTGTTGCATTACCTTAGATTTTCACACTCCTCTCAAGCCTGCAGCCCCGAGGAAGTGGTTCTTCCAGCCTCAGCTTGTTTAGCTATTCCCCCAGCCCCCTTGCATCGAATTGCTCCCAAATATGACAGTTCAGTAAGGGCAAAAAATAGCTTACACCGTGTCCTGCCAAACAACTTCTTCTCATCTGGTCTCTGAAATTCTAGTTGCGTACCCTCAAAATGGATTCTGCCTCCCACACTGTTAGGTACCCAGAGGAAATGCAAACCATGGACACCTCCTTTAAATATAATTAGGCCGAGCATAACAACTTTAAGGCCTGATTCCTTTTCAGTCCTTTGGAGAACATAGCTTCCCAGAGGTGATCTCCCCACTGTAGCAAGTGCAGGAGGGCTGAGCTCACCCAGGCACAGACACAAGGTTAGGACTGATGTCCGAGGTTCAGAGACTTGGAATCTCTTTCTGTCCCATCTTCTGGCCTGGCCTCTTGAGGGTGATGAAGAGGACGATGGAGGAAAGACGCCATGTGGAATTCTAGGGTTGGGCATCGTCATTATCCCTTCACAACTCTTGCCTCCTGTTCGGGTAGCTTGGCTAGCAAGGAGGTGTTGGCTGTCATCTTAGTTTATGGTTTGTATTTGTATGCTGAGGAGTTTACATGTGTATAATCATTGTGGCTCATGTTTGTACAAGATATAATTACTGTAAATTATATCATGAACTTATTTTAACTTTTAACTCTTCCCATGCTGGCAAACCTCCTAAGTTCTCAGGAACTCCCCCCTGGATGCTTCCCTCCCATAAGGGGGGCATGTCACCCCCCTAACCAGGCCTTGCTTTCTCATCCACATCATTTTTCCTTTCTGACAGAAGTCCATTTCAGGGACTTCCCTGAAGATCTGGTGCTCTCCTGAGTGTTTCCTAGCAGTGAGAGGCTGGCATTCCTCCCTCGCCTCATCATCACCGTGATAAATATGGCCATAGAGGCTTAACTGTCATCGTTCTTGACCACCTGGGGATAAGAAGGGAGCACAAATCATGCTTCCTGAGCATTCCAGTGATTGAAGAATGCACATGGGGCAGCGAGTTTCAGGAAGAGCATGTGCTGATCAATTAGGACGTGTGGGATGCTGGGTTTCAGGAAGAATATAGGCCCTCCCAATATTTGGAATCTGCCTTGGGACTTATCCTCAAATGCTGAGTTTGGAGACCAGCCAGCCCATTCCAAGGATTGTACCCTTGTGGGGTACCATCCCAAGGTGGGTGTGGAGAGAAATGATCTCTTCCTCACAATACAGTGGGCCTTGTGTCCTTAGCAAACTAAGTAGGTGCTTATTAACAGCTTGAAGGAATGAAGAGTGTGAATAAGGAAGATTTTCAGTAATAGAGACTTCATCATCATCAAGAGGAATGTTCCAGAGCCACAGAATGTAGAACTCATAATTTAGAGTGCCACCAGGGGAATTTGATTGGCTGGGCCAAGGTCAGAGCCATGGACCATGGCTGGCAGGAGCACAAGACTAGTATTGTGGCTCTTTATAGGCAATTGAGGGAGATTCTCTGATTAAGGGGTTTGGATGCTAAGGCCACCAAAAAAAGGGGAAAACTTTAATTGGACTTTAAAAACAGTGTTTTCCTGAGGTGGTTGAACTAAAAACATTTGGTTTTTATTCCTTTCAGATTTACAGGAACAGATGGGCCTAGTGGTTTTGGCTTTGAATTGACATTTCGTCTGAAGAGAGAAACAGGGGAGTCTGCCCCCCCAACATGGCCAGCAGAGCTAATGCAGGGCTTGGCCAGATACGTGTTCCAGTCAGGTAAGAACTCTAAGAGCTGGCTGACGTGGGGATCCTTTTGCTATGAGCCTGCTTGGCTTTGGGAACTCATAGGCATATTTTGATATCTGTGGAGTTACCTTTTCTGAGAGTATTGTACATCATTTGTACTATGAAGGTGGCTTGTTTTGCCTGGTGTTTCCTGGGTGGGAAGCTACCTGGGCCAGGGAAGAGAAGGATTTGCCACTATGACCTCTAGCAGCCACTATTCTGATACCTTGAGCCTAGCCATACTTCTGATTCCCAGTGAGCCAAATTCCAACTCAGCATGGAGCTGATCAGCTCTTTCTGTCTGTCCCATTTCCCATAATGTCCTTGCTCCCTGCTACCAGTGGCCTAGGCATCTCCATTTCTGGGGTCACAAGCACACGTGTTAATTTTGGTTAAGCCTTGGGTTAACAGTGGAGAGTGTGACAGAAAGAATTGTTGGGTGTTTGTTCCCTCACTGTGTGAGGGTGAAGCTAGAATCAGGCAAGACCTTGACAATCAGAAATATTTGATTCGCGTGATTTAAGTGGCTACCAGGGGATGGTTCTATGCTCCTGGTGCCCCTCTGGAGACTGCTAACATGGTACCCAAAGTGGGGACTTTGTGTCAGGATCTCGGTCTCTTGCTCTTAGCTCATCCTGCTTATAGTCCTCCAGTGGGTTGAAATGTTAGAGCAAAATTTAATACCTTTTAAGGAAGGTTTCATATCATCTGGATGTTTTTGTGTGGCAAATTAATTGCTCAGTAATATGTCTCATATGGCCTCAGATTTTTTTCTTTTTATTTAGTTAAGTAGCCTTCAGATGAAGGCCAAGACAATTTTATCCAATTCTTTTGCTCTTTGACTGCCATAGATGAGCAGCATCGAGGCCAGAGTCCCTCAAAGTACGGTCCTTGGATCCCCTGCATCAGAAGCATATTGAGAGCTTGTTATAACCACACATTCCTGGACCCCATAGGAGATCTCTGACTCAGTATCCTTTAGGGGTGTTGTTCCCAGATGCTTCTGGTAGTGACTAAGTTTGGAGAACCATAGATCTGACAGTGACTTTTTTCCCCCCAGCTTTGAGTGGGTTATAAATTGGGGGTATAATAGGTCCTCTAGGTTGAACTCATCTGTCCTCATTCTGGACCCCTGGGGTCAGTTGTTGGTAGGGTGGCTATCACATAATTGGACTGATCCTTAACTACTATCTACCATTTTGTGTCCTCTGGAATAATCACCTTTGGGAGACTATAGTGGGTCTTTTCTAAGCGAGGGTTCCCAAACCTGGCTGCTCATGAGGTCCTCTGGGGAGCTGTCCACACTCTGATTCCCAAAACCCCTGTGTGGCCGTGATGCAGTTGGTCAGAGGAGAGACAGAGACATTTGTTTCTTAATCAGCTTCCCAGGAGATTCTAATGCAGTCGATCTAAGAATGATGTTTGGGTTCTAAAGGATTGTTGACAAGGAAGAAGTACTGTTCACGGGGACTGGGGAAGCAGGCTCCCTGAAGCAGTGGCCCATGTGATTTGGTACTGCCGTAATGTGGTTTGCAGAATCTTTTAAAATTGTGCCAGGAGTCTATTACCTAAACCTTTGTGTCCTCTCTCTTTCCCTTCTTGGGATGCTCGAAGCTGACCCTGATAGAGAACTGTCTTTGGAAAAATAGACTTTTCTTGATGGGGAATTTGATTGGCTGTAGCAAAGAAGGCTCTAAACACTAGACAACCTCTTGCTTGTATAGACAGGTAACTCCTTGCCCACTGCTTAAGCCAGTGCATTTAAATGTTTGTTTCCACATAATGTACTTGCTCAGGTGGATAGAGATCAGAGAAATATAAAAATAGGTGTTATGAATCACTGTCAGGAGGAGTCAAGCAGATGAACTTCTGAAATAGTTCTGATATTATAGTTCTGAAGTAATAGTGCAAGTAAGTGGGAAAATAAGATTTAAAATAAAATTTAACTTTTCACCCATACAGTGAACATCACTAGTGACCATTTTGTACCATTAATGTGATCATCAATTCAGGAAGATTATCAACAAATGCCAAAAACCATTGGATAAAAAGATTGTGGGGATCCCTGGGTGGCTCGGTGGTTTGGCGCCTGCCTTTGGCCCAGGGCACGATCCTGGAGTCCTGGGATCAAGTACCACGTTGGGCTCCCGGCATGGAGCCTGCTTCTCCCTCCTCCTGTGTCTCTGCCTCTCTCTCCTCTCTCTCTCTCTCTCTCACAAATAAATAAATAAATCTTTAAAAAATAATAAATAAAAATATTGTCAGGGGACAAGATATTCATTCATAGGAACTCAAAGAAACCCTCCAGAGATTACTTATTTGTTCCTGAGAAACACCTTTACAATGATAAGATTTGGGTGGACATCACCTTAACGAAATGATCAAACATAACAATACCAGTAATGGAGCAAATTATGATTATGTACTTCCTTATGTGTGGCAGTAGACAGTATAAAATATCCACTGGGTAGCACTTTTCTAAAAATGTTACGCCTGTGTTGAATCATGAGCAAGCAGTCAAACAAATCTAGACTGCAGAACATTTTATAAGAAAACTTCCTGGACTCTTCAAAAACGTCAGTGCTGTGAAAGATACACAAGGACAAGAGGCAGCGGGTGTACTAGATTACAGGACACATGGCAGTTTTTTTTAAAAAAAGATTTATTTATTTATTTATGATAGAGAGAGAGAGAGAGGCAGAGACACAGGAGGAGGGAGAAGCAGGCTCCATGCCGGGAGCCCGACGCAGGACTCGATCCCGGAACTCCAGGATCGCGCCCTGGGCCAAAGGCAGGCGCTAAACCGCTGAGCCACCCAGAGATCCCCCACATGACAGTTTAAATGTACTTATGATCCTTGATTGGATCCTGAACTGGGGCAAGGTGAAGTCATTTTTAGGGCAGTTGGAAAAGTATAGACTGTATATTAGATAATAGTATCATACAACTGAAATCCTTTGGGTCCAATATAATACAGTGGTTATATTGGACAATGTGCTTGTTCTTAGATAAAAGCTGAAGTCTTTATGAATAAAATGACATAATTTCTGCAACTTAATTTTCATATGATTAGGCAAAAAAGTAAAGTGTGTGTGGAGAGAGAAGAGAAAGCAATGTGGCAAAATGTTAACAATTCTGATGAATCTAGGTCAAGGGCTTATGGATATTTGCTATACTGACCTAATTTTTCTATGTGATTGAAATTTTTGAAAGAAAAAGTTGTGGCTGTTTCTTGAGTAGCCTGGCAGGTGTGTGCTCCACAGTCCTTTGTGCACCAGTGGCCCCTTTTGTGGTGTCTGTAATGTGACTTCAGATCACGTTAGGCATTACACAGCAGCAGCAGGATGACCCTCTTGAAAGATGATTGATTTTCTGTTCTCCAGATTTTCTATAATATGATCACACTTAAATAATAGCTAAAACAAATCTACCTGAAATGCTTTTTAGAACATGGCAGGGAATAATAATAAATTATTTAAATAATGGGAAGATTATTTTTAAAAGTATATGGTAACTGATACAAGGTAGGAGACCATGGCTATGGGCCTACATGGTGAAGACAAGGGCTCACATTTACTAGTGTGTTCCATGCGCCAGCCACAATTGCCAAGTGCTCATTTAATCTGCAGTAAAGCCCTGTGAGTTAGACACTGTGTTATACCAGCTTTACAGTTGCAGAGAACAAGACTGTATGGAAAGGTAAAGTATATAGCATGTTCGAGATCACACATCTAGGAGGTGAAAAGCAAGATTTGAACCAAGGGGGATGCCTGGGTGGCTCAGCTGTTTGGTGCCTGCCTTCCACCCAGGACATGATCCTGGAGTCCCAGGGTCGAGTCCCACATCGGGCTCCCTGCATGGAGCCTGCTTCTCCCTCTGCCTGTGTCTCTGCCTCTCTTTCTGTGTCTCTCATGAATAAATAAATAAAATCTTAAAAAAAAAAAAAGATTTGAACCAGGCAAGTTAGTTCTTTATGCCGTTCTCCTAACCATGATGCTATGTTGCCTATAGCTCAGCTGATGTCTGGCTGCTGGAAATGAGATTTGAGAATCCTCCATATGGATGACTTCACTGGTTCACTTGGCCTGTGAGCTCCAGGATGTCTCTCTCACCCCGTCACTCTGGAACATTTGGAAAATGGGTCTTGGAAAATGCAGAAGGCATTCATAATATTACCAAAATCCTCTTATATCTATCCTTCCATCCCTTAACTTTTTTTTTTTTTTTTTTTTTTTAGTCATGAGAGACAGAGAGGCAGAGACACAGGCAGGGGGAGAAGCAGGCTGCATGCAGGGAGCCTGACGTGGGACTCGATCCCGGGTCTCCAGGATCACACCCTGGGCTTAAGGCGGCGCTAAACCGCTGAGCCACCCGGGCTGCCCCCCTTAACTTTTTATTCATGAAAGTATGTATATAAAAAATACAGCTTGATGACTCACAAACTGACCCTTATAACTGTCACCCAAATCAAGAAACAAGCTAGTTCTTCAGAAATCTCCCTTGTGCCCACTTGTAATCACCATTCCTTGTTCTTTTCTTTTTTTTCTTTCTTTTCTTTCTTTTCTTTCTCTTTCTTTCTTTCTTCCTTCCTTCCTTCCTTCCTTCCTTCCTTCCTTCCTTCCTTCCTTCCTTCCTTTCTTCCTTCTCTTCTTTCTTCCTTCCTTCCTTCCTTCCTTCTTCCTTCTTTCCTTCCTTCCTTCTTCTTTCTTTCTTTCTTCTTCTTCTTTCTTTCTTTCTTTCTTTCTTTCTTTCTTTCTTTCTTTCTTTCTTTCCTTTCTTTCCTTTCTTTCTTCCTTTCTTCTTTCTTTCTTTCTTTTCCTTTTCTTTCTCTTTTCTTTTCTTTTTTCTTTTCTTTTCTTTTCTTTTCTTTTCTTTTCTTTTCTTTTCTTTTCTTTTCTTCTTCACCCCCGTCACTTCACTGCATAATACAGTTCTTGAGTACCATATGCCTGAACTTGTTAGTTCTAAGCTAAGCAGCCCCCATTTCTGCT